CTGCCCTACGAACCCGGCAACCCGAGTTCGATACCCGCTCACACGCTCATGGCCAACATCGGTGACGAATATCTGAACCGGTCCAGGGCCTTCCCTAGGTCGACTCAGCCACAAACGAGTACCTGGTCCAGTGTGTGAACTTGGCCACAAGGGAGACAAAGGTCGTCGGGCATGGTGCTGGCCACCCACCCCCCTGCGTACCGTCACTGCCTTCATAGGTGCTGCTAGCTAACAGCACTTGACCCAAAAGTCTGTTAAGGCTATACGGGAGGATCTTTGATTTTGTGTGCATGTGCGTGTATATGTTGAGCTTCTTTCGCACCGTACGTAGCCAACCGCGCTAAACGGAGGTGCGAGGCTCTCGCTCCTGCGAGCAAAGCACGACGGAGGAGTCGGTGCCAGTCACGGTAGCGACTGAGAGCAATCGGGGGAGAGGGGCCGAGGTGCCACGCCGCCACTCCCCGCGAGAGACGCCGCGTCGCGGACTTCCACGGCCGGGAGAGACGGGGTCAGCGCTGCTCTCCAGCGCGTGTCGGTGACGACAACAGCCGCCGTTAGCGTCAACCACTACGCCTCGTCGAGTGCTGCTGCTGCTTGTAAGCGAATGTGACCGGGGCACGGTTCCCACTTGCTAAGGGTCTCTTCTCCCTCTCTCTCTTGACTCGCTGTGCACGCATGTACGTGGAACTTCGTTCGCACCGTACGTAGCCAACCGTGCTAATCGGAGGTTGGTGAGTCGCTGCGTGTTCACACACGTGCACATGCACAGCCCCGTTTTTGTTGTTGTTGTTGTTGTAAATCCACTGCTGGATGAGGTCCTCCCCAAGCTTTGCAGGCCGTGAAACTATTTTTAAATCATACTTCACCACGCCGGTCGTGGGCGGGTTGACGGCAGGAGGAGTGCATGGCAATGTATGCTGCAGTCCCGCCATCCGTGCCTATGAGACACGTGTCTTTTGCGCAAGATGGTCACTCGTTCAAGTACTGGCCAGGCTCAAAACCCCGCTGAGCCTCTGAGATCTGATGAGATTTGGTTGCATTCTGGGTGATTGGGTCCGAGGCACTGATCACGTAAAGCAATGAAATAAAAGCATCCAAGTTCTCCCTCTTGTATTCATCAACGGCGAACATTAACATTCGTGTGAGATTTACATTGCAGAGATGTTAGCAGTCGCTTCATTGAGCCTGGTAGGGTACATTAATGACACGTTTTCAACGCAAGCAATTGAAAAATGGGAGGCGCATTAAATTTTTGTCGCGACCGATATACGAGGGAATGTAGGGTATCATTGAAGGAAAAGTGGAAACTTTAATGTTCGTGTAGATCCAAAGACGGTGGAGAGAGAAATAGTGTGTTTGGAATAGGTTCGTTAAGTCATTAAGCATCGTCTTTAATCTCCGACAACCGCCAGAACTGTTATACTCACACTGGTTCCATTTCTCTTTGTTAACTTTGATGTATTAGTCACAATATATATTTTTTATTCCCCCAATTTTAGTAACCATCATTGAACATTACTTGACATTGTTTTGTGCCTGCAAAAGGCTTTTTTTACGTGGACTTTACAATCCAAACCTATCTACGTGACTTTACCGAAAGACCCAATAATAATCCATATGGTAATACCAATAAATCCTGAGTGAGTAATTAATACACCAAGATATAATCCCTATACTGATCAATGAGCAATATTAACATGTACAGCGTTAAATACTATGGCCAAATCACCCAGAACACCACGCCCGATCTCATTAATTATTGGAAGCTCAGCAGATTGAGCCTGGATAGTCCTTGGATGGGCAAATGCCATGCATACAAAAACAGGTGTGACAGGATGCTCCAGGGCTACATTGTGAGCAGATGGCAATGCAGCAAAACAGATGTTGTACTGCACTATGCTCCAATGCCTATGCTCCCCACCCACACTGATCGACATTAATCTGCACAGCCAGCGTGGTGAAATTTGTTTAAACAACCTCCATGACCCCTCAAAGGGTCGTGAGGCCTTATCCGGCAGTGGGTTGACTCAAGGTATGTGTGCGGAGAATATTTTAACGATCCCAAATAGGCCGGAACAGTGTTCTTGTATTTAGTCATAGCCTGTACGTTCAAACGGTGAACAGCACTCACGCCCATGGGTTGTCTCGAGCCAGTGGTGGGGAACTACACGTTTGCTTGTCAGTGACCAGTCTCCCAATGGGAAGCCCCTTTCGAAGGTGCACAAAGTGGTGCAGTTGCAAAAGTGTCACTCGTATCACCAATAACGACAGAGTCCAAGGGCCAAGTCGACCCAGGCCAGGATATGAACACAAACTGTGATTGGTGAGAGCACAGCTGCACGCAACAGAGCGAAGATGCCATGGTAGCGAGATGTTAGCTACCTAGCCTGGTACACAGGATGGTCGTGGGTTCGATTCCGACCCTGATGCCTGCATATTTGAAATTTGCATTTTCTTCCCGTGATCGCGTGGATTTTAGTGTGTCTCTCGCATGAGCCAAGAAACCCTTTCTTAACTTAATTTCTTTGATTGTCTCCTATGAATGACGATGCTTATAATGAAAGCTCCTTGGCTGGCTTTGTATTATTAGTCTTATTGGAACACCGTGTACAGATCCCAGAATAATTATTTCACGTTAATGTCGTGGGCATTATTCATGTTGGGAATGTGTACATAACCACTGCAATATTGCCGTGACTTAACGAGCATCATGATCCTGCTAGAGCTGGGCAAGGTGTGTCCATCTGCCATCCTTGGCTTTATTTGGAGAGAAAAAAAACTCAACACATTCATCATGACCGTAAAGAACAAGTATATAATTGTCGACGTTTTGAGCAATGACCCTTCTTCATAGCACTAGAAAGGCCAGAAAAATAACGAGAGTTCATAATTGTTGGAAACTGAAGTTTACATGATGGGGCCTTATGAGAATTCAATTTTAAAAAATGTGATGACCAGTTTTTAAATCGGCATATGAATAGTGGCATATTCTATTCTAACGTATGGCAATGTATTCAGGAGCTAAATGCCAATGTTGAGGTCTGCTGGCCACAACGAGAGGGTTTCAGGAGAGTTCGCTGCGAGATGTTAACTACCTCGCCTGGAATAATGAGGTCGTGGGTTCGATCTTGACCGTGATTCCTGCATATTTGGACTTTGCATGTTCTCCTAGTGGTCGTGTGGATTTTTCTCCGTGTCCTTTGGTTTTTCCCTCCACATTTAGAAACACATGTTTAGAGTATTCGGCTGCTATACATTTCCACATGATAAGCCACTTCATTGAGTTATAATGTGTGGTCCGGTCAATATAAAAAAATGAGCTTATATAGCTCAAGTGGGCCTTACCTGGTAAAATAAAAATAGTAAAAAAAAGAGTTTAAATATTCAACAAGGTTAATATTCGTGCACCTCATGAGGAGACTTCAGTAGCTAAGATCAAGGCCGAGCAGCTACAACTGTTGTCCGGCTTCTGATGACGTTTTTTCTTTTAAATCTCGCAGAATTAAATCAAATTGTAGGGTTGACATGAGCAAAATAGGATTGCATAGACGATTCAGTCCATGGCATATATGATAACAGAAGGCTGTCCTCTGGGTCACAAAATGACACTAATACGTTAAACCGCACACTGTCTGCATCTACGCATTCTCCCCACGGTGCGCGAGTGTGCATGTGATCTCTACGTGGATTTATTTTTTTCACTAAAACCCAGAAAATTATCGATAGGCCAATGTTGTGCCAACACTTTCCACATTGCTCGTCACAATCCTGCAAGATTCTAACCCTCATGCACACAGATCCCTCTCCTGTGCGTTACAGTGACTACTGCATAGCGACTTGCACTGTGCAGAGGAGCATCCAGTACAGACACTCCTCCCAGATTAGTAATATTATACCACACAAATAAAACCAAGAAAATATATATATACTTTCAGACGATATACTGACAATATAGGGTTACATTTCACAAGGGTGCAGTACAACAATGCGATTCTTTTTTTTAATGCAATAAACTGGAGGCAAATTATTGCATGGAACCACAGTGAATGCCGATTTGATATCTATATAACCACCGTTTGTTACATTTTCAAAAACCAAGCGTGGGCGAAGATAAGTAGGTGCCGTTTTCCGTTTACAACATCCGTGCAGATATTGAGATGTGGCCATTGACAGCGGCAGACATTTGTCTATCCCACACTGAACAATCACGACTCAAAATTCTTAGCATCCACTCGTCAGCTTTCAAGCGCGCACGCGCCTACATGCACAGTGAAGGGCACAATGACCACTAAGCCAATCAGTCAATTATATTAAGTTCAGGCAACTTAAAGTAACAATGGCAAGTTTGTTATTTTTTGGAGAGTGACATTAATCCGCATTGTCATCCCGTGCTGTCGCATCCCGTGTGCATCGCACAGCATCGAGGCATGGCCAGTTAGAAATCCGTACAGTTTGGGAAAAGCAGATTTTTTTCCAAGAGCAAATCACGACTGTGATCGTGTACATCGACGTTTGTGGTTACTCACTTAATGTTCTGTAAACATGAGAAGTTAAAGTAAAAAGTTCGTGAGTTGCATGATGACAATAATACACCACTCAAGACAATGCGCATCGCGCCTCCGATTAACACGGTTGGCTACGTACGTTGCGAAATAATGTCAACGTGCACACATACTCAGAAGAGATTATTACACAGCGATCATCCCCCACCTACTGGCAGACTATAGCCCGATTGCAGGGCAGGTTCTGAGTCACCTTGTGCCCACAGGGACAGCTGCCACGGGGGGGGGGGGGGGTCGGGTGCTCTTTCAAATGTGTGAGATGAGAAGTGTTGTAAAGTGCCCTGAGACGCCTCAGTGCGTTGGGCGCTACATCAAAAACAAATTATCAATTGAGGAGGTGTCACCCCCCCCCGCCCCCCGTCCCCCGCCGCCGTCTCCGGCATCGTGAGATTATTCCACTTCTCCTTTCCTCTTCCCGTGAGAGAGGTGCGGGCTCACCTTGCTGCGCTCCTGCTGCAGCTCGATCTGGATGTCGGTCAGCTTGGCCCTCAGCTCCTCGTTGGCGGTCTGCAGCGAGTGGATCACGGCCTCGGGCTTGTCAGGCCGGCCGCGCCCGGCGGCCCTCCGCGACATCGCAGGCCTCCTCCTCCTCCTCTTCACGGCACCGTGGATCCCTCCACCGCCACGGCTGTCGCTCGACCGACAGCGGCGCTGCCTCCTGACCACCTTCTCCTTCCCCACCGTCGCCTCTCTCGATTAAAATCCGGGTTGGAGGCTCACGCGCGCTAAACCTCGCGCACGGCCGCAGACGATGATTTGCGTTCACCTTACATCGTTCAGAGCCTGCGGGGCAGAGGGAAGGACGAGGCAATGGGAAGTTGTCGAATTGATTCGGAGATTTGATTGGAAGCCGTGAAGAGGAATGGAGATGGGGCGACTGCGGAGGAAGGTGGTACCACAGGCACGGCGGTGTGGCACTGCAGACACGGCGGTGTGGCACTTAGACACGGCGGTGTGGCACCACAGACACGGCGGTGTGGTACCACAGACACGGCGGTGTGGCACCACAGACACAGCGGTGTGGCACCACAGACACGGCGGTGTGGTACCACAGACACGGCGGTGTGGTACCACAGACACAGCGGTGTGGCACTTAGACACGGCGGTGTGGTACCACAGACACGGCGGTGTGGCACTTAGACACGGCGGTGTGGCACCACAGACACGGCGGTGTGGTACCACAGACACGGCGGTGTGGCACTTAGACACGGCGGTGTGGTACCACAGACAAGGCGGTGTGGCACTTAGACACGGCGGTGTGGCACCACAGACACGGCGGTGTGGCACCACAGACACGGCAGTGTGGCACTTAGACACGGCGGTGTGGCACCACAAACACGGCGGTGTGGCACTTAGACACGGCGGTGTGGCACCACAGACACGGCGGTGTGGCACTTAGACACGGCGGTGTGGCACCACAGGCACGGCGGTGTGGCACTTAGACACGGCGATGTGACACCACAGGCACGGTTGTGTGGCACTTAGACACGGCGGTGTGGCACCACAGACACAGCGGTGTGGCACCACAGACACGGTGGTGTGGCACTTAGACACGGCCGTGTGGCACCACAGACACGGTGGTGTGGCACTTAGACACGGTGGTGTGGCACTTAAGACACGGCCGTGTGGCACCACAGACACGGTGGTGTGGCACTTAGACACGGTGGTGTGGCACTTAGACACGGCGGTGTGGCACCACAGACACGGCGGTGTGGCACCACAGACACGGCGGTGTGGCACTTAGACACGGCGGTGTGGCACCACAGACACGGCGGTGTGGCACTTAGACACGGCGGTGTGGCACCACAGGCACGGCGGTGTGGCACTTAGACACGGCGATGTGACACCACAGGCACGGTTGTGTGGCACTTAGACAAGGCGGTGTGGCACCACAGACACGGCAGTGTGGCACCACAGACACGGCGGTGTGGCACCACAGACACGGCGGTGTGGCACCACAGACACGGCAGTGTGGCACCACAGACACGGTGGTGTGGCACTTAGACACGGTGGTGTGGCACTTAGACACGGCGGTGTGGCACTTAGACACGGCGGTGTGGCACCACAGACACGGCGGTGTGGCACTTAGACACGGCGGTGTGGCACCACAGACACGGCGGTGTGGCACTTAGACACGGCGGTGTGGCACCACAGGCGGTGCAATCAAACAGACGAGCACTCAGGCACGTTGAGCCGTAACTCAGGACACTAACGAGGGCGTTCAGACACGCCGCCGGGGAGACAGACAGAACGAAAATATGAATGCAAATGAGAGCAACATGGAGGCGCAATAGAGAGAAGGAGGAGGAGGCGCACACGGGCGAGGAGCGGTGGGGGTGGCATGAGAAACGCATTCACCACAGCATCCCCACTGCGTCTCCATGGTTACCACAGCCGGATATACAGTATTCGGAGATGCATTATTGTTCGACGTGCCCGATTTGGAAATTTGGATCAATATCATTCGTTAAAAAAAAATGTTAAGATAATTGCCATTGAACAACTCACGGAGGAGTGCGAGAGATGCGCGGACGGTGACCGAGAATGAATAAATGTTGAAAGGCGAGAACGAAATCGATCATTTACGATGACGAGTTGCTCGCGCCAACGTGCTGTCAACATTCGAACAGAAAAAAAACCAACAGCCTTCAGCACACGATGAACAATAAATGGATTTAATTTTCATCTCACGTTTGCTTGAAATTCAATCGCGAGCTCGAGCTGATGGATAATGCTCGACGATGATGACAACAATCGGCAAATTATAACAATTGCAGTAATCTGGACTATAACAGTGGTGCTAATTATATATTACATTATCGTCGAAATAACAATGCTGACTGACACTAGGAGAGTGAAAATGATTGCCCAAGAACCATTAAACTGTGTGGGTGCTGCATCAGCATTATGGTAATCTATATATAAAATTCAATTTGGTTACGAGGTCATAATAGTCATTTCACATTTGTATAAAATACAGTACATGACAAAACCTCAATATATTCCAACAAAAATGCAATTATATCATCAGGTGTGAAAACCACAGCAAGAAAATTTGAAAAAAGTGGCGTTTTGATGATGATTGCTTGTGTTGCAGTCGAAACGTCGTGAGAATTTTATTGTTTTATATTTTTATTATTTTATTGTTTCCCTTCTACGTGACTTTACCGAAAGAACAAATAATATGAATCACTGCAGTCACGAAAGCTTTAAATCAAAATTTAACCACCTCTACAGGGAGGGTTTCCACATAACTTTGAGATCCTTCAACAAACTCCGGGATAAGAAGGCTCAGCTGATCGAGTCTCTCACCTTTCTGAAGAGATGCCGCGACTCTGGGGTAATACCAATCGCATTTACACTGACCTCTGCTGCTGTAACTTCTTCTAATGCGAAACGAATTATTTCCAGAACTAGCTTATTTCTTATCTCAGAGAAAATCAGACTTATACGCACCGAACTAGATCAGTTAGACAAGACACTCTACAAATCACACTTATCATTGACGGCAACAATGTCCACATTGGATTGGGAACATGTAGACAATATTACTGCCTATTCAGCTGCCACTATGTCGACCAAATGTAAGAACAACCTGATTTCCAAATTTAACCTCCTCTTCAACAAAAGACCGGACCCACACACCAAAAAGCTAGTCGTTAACAAAGTCGTAATAAATCGCAGTAACAGTTCTATTTCCGATGGTCTGAAATCCGTTTTAGCTAAAGGTCTAAACTTTGCAGTCACACCGAGACACTTACCAGTTAATATCATTGCCCAAGTAGACGTGGCTCTCAAGGGCCTGTGTCACATCGCTGCAGATGTAGCAAGATCTGAAATCCAAGCAACACTCAAAAACGCTAAGATGCCAGTTAGCAACCTCAGCAAAGATGAGCGTTTTTAATTATATAAATTAAAAAGGAGGGTTGATATTGTCATCCTCTCAGCCGACAAGGGCAATGCCACTGTCATCATGGATAAAATAGAATATAACAACAAAATTCAAGAATTACTCAACGATGGCAGCTATACAAAAATAAAAAGAGATCCCACCAACAGCCTCGTCACAAAAACCAACAAAATCATTTCTGATTCAACCACATTAATTGATCAAACCAAACAGTTCTCGTTGATACCTTCTGCTGCCAGGCCACCAAGTTATACGGCTTACCAAAAATACATAAAGTAGATACACCCTTTCGTCCCATCGTCTCTACTATCAACTCCCCCACCTACAAACTGGCTCGTTTTCTGTCTGAAATCCTGCGGCCTTTCACTGGAAAAACCACCTCTGCGGTACAAAATTCTACTCACCTGGTATCGACAATCACGGGTATTTCCCTGTCCCCAGACGACCTGCTTGTCAGTTTTGATGTAGTTTCCTTATTCAACAAAGTTCCTGTACCTGACACCATCGCAATCATTGAAGACTTGGTTCATCAAGGACTAAACACTGAGGTACCCCCCTGATGAGACACTGCTTAACCAATACATACTTCACTTGGAATGGAACTTTCTACAAACAAACTGAGGGCACCCCAATGGGCCCCCCCCTATCTCCGGTTGTAGCCAACATTTTCATGGATAAATTTGAGACTGACGCCATCCAGACTGCCACTCTGCGCCCAACCTTATGGAAGAGGTACTTGGATGACACTTTTGTCATCTGGCCACATGGCCGGCCTGGTCTAGACCAATTCCTCGACCACATCAATTCCATACACCCAGCCATCAGATTTACCATGGAAGTCGAAAAATATGGCAAGCTACCTTTTTTGGATGTCCTAATAAAAAAGAGACCTGATGGTTCAATGAGCCACTCTGTCTACAGGAAAGCTACCCATACGGATGCTTACCTGAAAACGGATTCCCACCACCATCCATCCCAGAAGAATTCCCTCATCAAGACTCTGCACCATAGAGCCAAATGCATATCCGACCAGGAACACATAGCCAGTGAACTCAAGCACGTACACCAAGCTCTTAAGGCTAATGGTTACTCTGACTACACAATCTGCAAAGCTGTCACTCCAACCATGAAGAAGGACCCGCTTGAGGAGCTTTTCAAAACCATCACATTACCCTACATTGCGGGGATCACAAAAAAGATCTCCAAAATCTTGAATAAACACAAGATCCAAGTCCGATTCAACACATTACATAAAATCCGTGATCTGGTTCCATCTGTAAAAGATGTGATTCCGGACATACAGTACCCTGGCGTCTACAAACTAAGTTGCCTCTGTGGTAGTAGTTACATTGGAGAAACCAAACGACATGTCTCGGACCGCATTCGTGAACACAAAGCAGACCTAAAACACGGTAGGACCAACACCTCGGCAGTGGCAGATCACTGTTATAATTAAGTAAGCTCACATGACATTGACTTCTGCAAGACAGAGGTTCTTTGCAAGCCATCTGGCTACCATGAGAGATTCGTTCATAAGGCTGTCCACATATACAAACACAGAGACAATTTCAACCGAGATGGATTCTGGCTTAGCAATCATTGGAAGGATTTGATAAACCATTTCGGGTCTTAATTGATTGTTCACGCTTACGGTGGCTTTCAGACCGCATCCATTTTTTTACGTCTCCCCCCTCCTCTTTTCCGAACATAGATGGACTAGTCCATCTGAATATCTGCCAAATCGCTCTCCGTGGTGCTAACGTAAAAAAAAACGCCACTTTTTTTAAAATGTTCTTGCTGTGGTTTTCACACCTGATGATGATTGCTTGTGTTGCAGTCGAAACGTCGTGAGAATTGTATTGTTTTATATATT